CGAAAGATTTGCCTTGATGAGCTGAGCACAATGCATTTTTCGGGTTTAGAAAATATCCACTCCAAAGAAAGTTACGGCGAGTAGAATCTGGAAACGAGTGATTTTTCCAGAATTTACCAACGCTTTTTTTCTCTTTTGAAAAGAAGCCTGTGGCAGCTTACTAGCGCACTATAATGCACAAGAAGAGCACTATCGAATGGTGCATACTGGAAGCTTTCAAATTGGATAGGCGCTGCGTTACATACTTGCAAAGGGACCTCCTCAGAACAATTTGAGAAAACTGAAAACAAGATATAGATGACATGACGTATGTAGAAAGATTCGCCTTGACGAGATGAACACAGTGCTGCTTTCGAATTTAGAATATATTAATTCCGAAGGAAGTTATGGCGCTGCATAATTTACGATTATCCGGAATCGCGAAATTTCTGGAATTTCGCGCAATTCCCGTTCTGTGAGTGGTATTGTACATTGCACAGCACGCGCGGCATTCCGCGATATGTGCTTCTCATGCGATTTCCAACCATTTCCCTTTGTCTTCCTGCATTTTGGGACCCGTCATACTTCGCCGAGAGAAGCCCACTTTCACACATATCCATGCAGAATGAGCTGCCCACTTTCACACATATCCATGCAGAATGAGCTGCCCAGTTTCACATATATCCATGCAGAATGAGCTCTTAAACTATACCTGCCCTATTTCTGCTGTGCTCAATGGAATGTGTACGTAGCCTCTGGAATAAGCACACTGAATGGTCCATTTACACTAAAATTCCAGGAAAGAAACTTATATCCCACAACTAGGCACATCCGTATATTGGAAGATGCGCCTCGCCGAGCTGAGTTGAATGGTACTCTTATATATAGAATTCATAAATTTTGAATCAAGATAAGGTCTTTTTTTATAAAAAGTTAGGCGTTGCGCGACAAAGTTAGGTGACCTTTTGCCGCTTTTCCGCCGACTTTTGTCGCGCGACGCGGCAAAAGTCACCTAACTTCGGCGGCGCCGCGTAAGTTAAGTGCCGCCGCCATTTTTTTTTCACAAATTACGGGTGGTATTGTATAATCATGCTACTATGATTGAGGCATTTGTGAGTGTTACAGCGTTTACGAAAAGTAGAGATTTGAGCCTTGTCAAAATCTATATCTTCAAATTTTTGTCTCTTTTTTCACGGGATTCATTATTTATGCTCGTAATTAGTATAATCTTGCTTTCCTTTTGGTAATTATGTAGTGCATGCCCTACTGCTCACAATGAAAAAATTTTTTGCCTAAAAGCAATGTCTGAGAAATCTTTTACAAACCTAATGATGCAAGCAGTTCTGGGCAATTCTGTTTCAGTTGCGCGCTCTTTTTTTTCAACAAAAACGCTCATAAATCGGCGTCCAGAGGCTGGCACATATGAAATCATCATTGGAAACATCGTTCAAATGCTCTTCAAAGTGGCTTCGGTCTTATTTAAAAGGGCCAGTTTGACTAGAAACACCTCCCTTGTGAGTTTCCCTATCATTATCTCCTTTCTTCCTATAATACAAATGGCTTTTTGATCAATAGGGCCCTACTGTACCAAATCAAAAAATTGTTTTAGCTTTTGGATAACGTTGAACTATGATCGACTCGATGTTGGAATGTTAGTTAGACAAACACCACTGTGATTCTTTCTTTTATAAAGAAATACTGCAAAAGTTGTAATCTATAACACTAATCTTTACTTCCAGATAAAAAGCTAATTGGTGGAAAAAAAGATGAAAGTTAGGATTGGATGTGCTGAGAAGGGCTATAGAACCACTCGCCCATTATGTGCAGGAAAATCTCTGTTGAATTCACGTAGAAAGCGAATCCTATACTAAAAGCGCAAAAATTTGCGAAACCGCGATTGAATTTATGAATTTTCCCCGTGTTATGTTTGAACACAGAGTGCACATGTTTCAATCGTAACGATTCAAAATTCAAAGTCATGGCAACGAAATAATTAGCTCTATATAAAATATAAGCCGCCTTTCAGAAAAATTTCTGGGATACTTTTTTAAAACTTCAATAGGTTTATGATCCCAATGCTCTGAAAGAAGAGGTGTGATAGTCAGTGAAAAGATAGAACATAGATCGACAGTTTTTTAGTCTCTTCAAAAGCGTACAAATTTTGCATTTCTGTTTCACAGAAAAGTTTTAAATAATCATTGCCATTGTATCGTTATTGAAAAAATGAAAAACCCGCTTGCGTTTTTATTTATGACTATTTACCATCAGGAGGGCAAGTACAATCAATGACAAATTCCATGGTATTAGATTGGAAAGAAAAGAACGCCGTTTTTCATTTTGAAGTAGTAACAAGAATTCAAAAAAATATAGGGGAAAAATGTACCATTTAATAGAGCAAAGAAAACTCTACAAGAGGGCCTTTGAACATTGCGGAAGTCGTAATTTAAGCGAAGTCTAGAGCCAAAAAGAGCAACTCATGGTGAAAATTTGGATTTTTGCCCCGAAAGATCCCACGAACGTTCCACTTGCTTCTGAATGTAACAGACACATACATCATCCACAGGTACATTTGCTATATTTTTTTCCATGGTTTTAATCAAGATAAAATTGGAGAACAGAAAATGGCAAGCTCCCCCCCCCCCCCCCCAATGTTCCTGGGCTCCTCCTTTGTATGCAGTCGTGTACTACAAGCCTTATAAAGTTTTGAGATTGTACTTATTGGTAGTGAAGCTTGTAGTATACAATGATTATGTGGGAGGGGCTGGGGGCGAGGTTTGCCAGTTTCGGACTTTCTTTTATTTCTCGCTTCCTATGCGAGTAAAAAAACCAGTAAAGGCATATTTGAGTATTACCATGTGCCTACCG